AACTTCAAGCAAAAGTTGAATGACGAAGTCATAAAGTCTGAGAGGAAGAGAACTCGCTGAAGAATTTGAATTACTGCACATTCTGATAGTGAGATTAAGATTGAATATTGATATTTAGTGTGTGTTTTAGTTTGTTTGAGTTGTGAAACCAAGGTTTCTCCAACAGGATTTGATGAATTACTATCTTGACTTCAACCAGCACTAATTGATCTCTCTCTCTCTATATATAAGCTTTTTGTGATTTTTTGAGTATATTTATATCTTAAGAGACTTAAACCTTCTAAGGTTTTGTATGTATGCCTATACATTCTAAGGTGCACAACCTTCTGAAATTTTTTGAGAGTACATATACCCTATGAGGTGTATAGCTTCATATGATTTTTAATTTTTGAAAGTAATTGCATTTTTTTGAGTCATATAATCATCAATAATTTTTTGAATGTATATGTACTCTCTGAGGCATATAATAAATATTATAAGATTTTTAAAAGTACTTATATTTTTTGAGATATTTCAAATGTACTTGTACCGTCTTAGACTTATAAGATTCTGAGATTTTTTAAAGTAGAGATCATGTCAACCATTTATTTTCATCGAGTCTTTCTAGTGAAGACATTGTCCACTACTAGCTTCCTATCGATGCTTTTTTATAGGCTTGCTTTTTAAGTGCATGAGTAGAGACATTGTCTTCCACTTGCCCTCAAGAAATCTTTCTAGTATGGATAGTATCCACTGTAACTTTCCCATCAAGATTGCCTCCAAGGCATATCTTACGGAGGTATAAGTGGAGATTGTGCTTGCTACTTGCCATTGATGAATCTTTCTAGTTAGAATCACGTCCACTAATAGCTTCTTATTTAATCTATGATACAACCATGTCATTTAGAGGTTTAAGTTGAGACTGTGTTTTCCACTTCCCTTAAGGGATCTTTTTAGTGAGAACCAAATATACTATTAGCTTCCCATCGAGACTACATCAAAGCGTCTCTTCCAACAATATAAGTGAAGATTGAGTATATCATTTGCCCTCAAGGTGTCTTATATTAAATTATATTATTTATTAAGAAGTTTATTGAAAATAAAAACTCCTGAATGATAGATTTTTTCCTCCAAAAATAAATAATGAACTCTATTAGAAAATAAAATGAGAAACTTACATAACTTATTTCAGTGACATTCAACATATAAGGTCAAAAAGTCTTTTGCAGTGATAAAAAAAGTCATAGTTGTACTTCTCATTCAAGAAAACATCAACAACAACAAGCCTTCATTCCACTAAGTGGGGGCGGCTACATAAATCCAATGGAAAGAAGTCTAAGAACAATTTTGAGCGGATTTAACCAAGGTACAACACCGATTAGGGTAGTTATTTGTGCCAAATGTGGAAGACAACATAAAGTTGAATGCTTTATGGGATCTAACACTTGCTATTGGTGACAATATAACAAGATATTGTCCATCTTTTGTCCAAAAGAGCATTGAAGATCAGAAATAAGGTAGAGCTCCTTCACAGAAGTCAGCAGACAAGCAAAAAAAGATAGAGCATATAGTCTTTATTCCTAAGTAAGGTCAACCAAGACAACCAATTCGACATTGGGAATATTCCTTTACTCATAGTGAGTCTGAAGAGCCTAATGTTGTTGTTGGTGACAAGGTCTGAGTAGTTTGATATTTTCTTAGCATGTTTCCGTGCTTCAATCTCTATGTGTTCTGAAGTATAGTTGAGTCGCATTGTATCGAGTTTTTCCCTTTAAATTGATTACTTTTCATAAATGACCCTAATTTCATGCATAGCTAATTTTGACTTGCTTAAGGTCAAATTATAAATTTCGAGAAAATATTGGAGGATGAAATTTTTGTAAGTGGGGAAGATTGTAGCAGTTCTGTACAAGGAGGAGGGGAACGAAGAATCGTGAAAGAAGAAGTGAGGGTCGATCCAAAAAAAAAATAAAAGGGGAGGAGAAGCGAGAAGATCAGGATGCCGAAGAGGGGAGAGAAGAAGCGATAAGGTCGGGAAGCCGAGCAAGTAAGTTTGCCTATATATTATCATATGAGGGAGGCGAGCCTTACCTGAGAGTTGATGACGACATCGAGAGAAGCAGAGGAGGGTTCTTGGGATTGAGTGGGTTTCGATGGCAGCTATGAGTACGACTAGGCAAAGATCGTAGCGATTGTAGGCATCAGTGTCAAGTAAAATATATAATAAAGTGGCACCACTTACGAGGGGGAGGGGGGAATATGTGCTAATATTACCTTTTAAGTCAAGTAGAAAACTATCTTTAGAATTAACATAAATAAAATTGATAGAAGTAATTGAGGATAAGTGAAAATTAATAATAAGTAAAATATATAATTAAAAGTGACACGAGTTTCCTAAAAGATTTAGAAAAGATTTTGTCATTCACTAATAATTGATGCCTAACAATATGATAGTAATTACATGTCCTTATAACAATTTCTAAACACTTAGTTGAACATTAACTATATAAAAAATTGATATTTCAATATTATTAAATTTATATAAAATTGATATTTCAATACTATAAATATTAGTCACTGCTTAATTTAAATGGTGTGATTCTTTGTTACTATCTTCTGAACTACAAAGTTTTGACTCAAGTTAGGCTAGTATTGAAATTTTGACTTGAGAAAAGGGTCAAAACTAAAAATCATTAAAAGAGCTTAATCCGATTTAATAATCCACAACAAAAAGAAACTAAAAAGGAAAATAAAAATGGAAAAGAAAAAATGAGGAAGCATGAAATATTAAAAAGGTTCAAAATAAAAATATAAAAAAATTTTGGAACGTTTGGGGGGATGTTTGAAGTGAAACTCAGATTAAAATTCGATGCAAATTTTCATTCTAAAAGTCATAGGATCAATATATTTTCTAACTAAGGTTAGAAATTTTGTATTCAAAGAGAAAGTAATGGAATTAAGATGATTTAAATAAGCACAAAACTGAATTTTATAATTGAATATTAATTTTATTTTAGTCAAGCTTTACATAAGTAATTAAAAATGATTATATAGATATGGGATTACTCTTGTTATATTAGAATATTAGAAGTACTATAGAAGTTCAATCTAAAGGAAAACTAAGTTTATTTTGATTGTAGTATATCTACTATTTTAATTATAAGCATTGAATCTTTAATCACTAGTCATCACGACAACTAGAAATACTCAAATTTTGGATTTTAAAATTATTTGAGGGTAAGTAATGAATAAGTTTAGGAGAGTTGAATGTGTGTAAAATATATGATAAATTGTATGCATTTTTTACATTTCGCTCTATTATTTGTTCCATATTTATACATTTCCGATATTTTTGTGTGCAGTTGTAGCCTTGTAGGGTATAGGTACTAACATGAACTTAAAGATGCATTAAAGAGACAATCGAACAAACTTAGAGGAAAAGCTCAAAGAAAGTTGATTCATACATACTAAGCCCAACCTAAACTCCAGAGAGAGTGGCATAGAGGTGCCACCCTATTGGCACATAAGCACCATCTAAGCATCCCTCAAACAAAGGCTTGGGAGCAAGATGCCGTATATGGGGGCCTAGGTGTCATACAAGTGCCTCTCTCGGGCACTCCATACAAAGAGCTTGGCATCAAGATACCATATGTGGCGCATAAGCACCACTTCAGCATTGGAGTGCCGCTTCAATTGTCGCCAAGCTGCCACCTAGAAAGAGCTCAATATAAAATAGTGAAGCGACACAGAATTAAGAGAACTCCAACGCTCCAAGGAGTAACTCCAATGCTCACCCAACAACATATATAAATTATATTATTAGGAAATTATGAAGTTTTTCAAATCCTAATATTTTTGGAGGACAAAGTTGGCCTTGCCCTAAAATATGGGGGCAACTGATGCGTCATCAACAATTTCACATCATTTGGCATGGATCTCAAAGTATTTTTTTTGTACAGGAAATGCTAGAACTTCAATTAAAAGTTTTTTAAAGCTTTGATTTAGCAAACTTGCAGTCATACTATCCAGCTCAATAAGACGGATAAAAAAAAAGGTCTAATCAAAGTTGGACTAGTTTAACTTAAGACATCGATTTGACAATAAACATGTCATATTTAGAATATATTTGATATTCCAATTATGTTCTCAAAGCTTCCAAAAAATTGAGCTAGACGCCATGGTTTTTTCTCTTTCTAGTTTTTTCACGTAAAAACATATAGTATAATTACTGGTTGCTTACTTCTATTTGAGTGTGTGTTGGATTTCTCTGTAATACTAAGAGATAATTCATTATTCTGTCTCCGCAAATTTTCTAGCACGCAGCAATTTTTGTATTAGAATATTTTTATATTTAAAATATAAATAATGCGGTAAATTAGTTATCAATATTTGAGTTTTGGGCCAGTGGAATAATTATGCTCCCATTCAAACTATTTGGGACCAGATTTGTATAATTATGCATCCATTTCTTTGATGGAATGTATGTTGTCAAAGTTATATTAAATTTTTCATTTAAAAATCAAGGTCGTCGGCAACGAGTTCACCCGTCATAGGGCTGCTTCATTAAATTAAATTAACGACAATAACCACTACAATATTATGGAATAACATGTAGTTATGTATGTGAACAATAAAATTAAAATGTTAGTGAACCACTTTAAAGACAACCCGATTCATTCTAAAAGATTTTTTTGAAATGAAATTGCTATGATCTCAATATTATATAATAATTACTCACAAACCATCACTTGCACTCAAGCTTTAAAATCAGCCCAAGATAGAGTCCTGCAATAGAGCTGGAGTCTTCTACTTAAACTCTAGAAACAATTAAAATGTCATAAACTTTGAAATTACTTTTATCAACTTTGATTATAATATTATCATGGGAATAGATTCCATTGAAATGTAAATTTTCATTACTAGTGAAAACTAATACAATATTCATCATATTCAACATATAAAACGCCCACTTCCAACAATCAAACTGTTTCTTTCCAAAACATAGATAATAAAGCAAAGCAAAAGCATAGCTCAAAGCATCATAAGACCCAACAATACCGTAAGTATATAGGCAAAGGTACTTGCTGCAAAAACACTGGAAGATGAATTATTGTTTTCTGGTTGTTGGCCTGCAGGTGACAAATCTGAATTTGGGGCTATTTCAGGAGCTGGAGTTGGAGCAGGTGTAAGAGTTGGAGCAGTAGTAAAAATGGCCTTCGGAAAAAGAACACTATTCACTTCATAGAGAGCAACTGGATTGGTGGAGTAGACACTACCGTTGATCTCTGGGTTTGACCAGTCAGAAATGACTCGGATAAGCCCATTTGTATCTGTAAGATTTAGGGTATATTGTTTACCAGCAATGGTGGTCACAGGGTTATGGTTACTCAAGTTACTTAAGTCTGAGAGGGAATAGAATTTTGGGAATGCATGGTATAGTAGAAGGGAATTCACTTGGTCTTTAGAAAGTTTTGAGAGGGAAAACTTATCAATTTTAGAGAAGGCTGAATCACTCGGAGCGAAGATGGTGATGCCTTGATCAGTGTTGTTGGCTTGGTTTTGGAAAGTTTGTATAACATTGGTTTGAATAAGAAGATTGAGGAAACTATGGAAGGGGCCAGTATTAGTGAGGAGATTAGTGAGATTCACAAATTGAGGAGCTAGAGTTGGAGCAGTATTGAAAATGGCCTTAGGAAGAAGAACACTATTCACTTCATAGATAGCAACAGGATTGGTGGAGTAGGCAGTTCCGTTGATCTCTGGGTTTGACCAGTCTGAAATGACTCGGACAAGCCCATTTGTATCTGTAATATTTAGGGTATATTGTTTACCTGCGATGGTGGTCACAGGGTTATGGCTACTCAACTTACTTAAGTTTGAGAGGGAATAGAATTTTTGGAATGCATGGTAGAGTAGAAGTGAATTCACTTGGTCCTTGCTGAGGTTTGAGAGGGAAGACTTATCGATTTTGGAGAAGGCTGAATCACTTGGGGCGAAGATGGTGATGCCTTGATCAGTGTTGTTGGCTTGGCTTTGGAATGTTTGTATGACATTGGTTTGAATAAGAAGACTGAGGAAAGTATGGAAGGGGCCAGTAATAGTGAGGAGATTAGTGAGATTCACAATTTGAGGAGCTTGAACCGGAGCAGTAGTGAAAATGGACTTTGGAAGAAGAACACTATTCACTTCATAGATAGAAACAGGATCAACTGAGTAGATATTGTTGTTGATCTCGGGGCTTGACCAATCTGAAATGACTCTGATAAGCCCATTTGTATCAGTAAGATTTAGAGTATATTGCTTACCTGCAAACGTGGTCACAGGGTTATGGCTACTCAAGTTACTTAAGTTTGAGATAGAATAGAATTTTGGGAATGCATGGTAGAGTAGAAGGGAATTGACTTGATCCTTGGTGAGGTTTGAGAGGGAAGACTTATCAATTTTGGAGAAGGCTGAATCACTAGGTGCAAAGATTGTGATGCCTTGATTGGTTTTGTTGGCTTGGTTTTGGAAGGTTTGTATAACATTGGTTTGAGTAAGAAGATTGAGAAAAATTTGGTAGGGGCCAGTGTTTGTGAGCAGATTAGTAAGATTTACAAACTGAGGAGCGGGGGTTGGGACTGGAGCTGGAGCAGGTGTAAGACCTGGAGTAGTATTGAAAATGGCCTTTGGAAGAAGAACATCGTTCACTTCATAGAGAGCAATAGGATCAACGGTGCAGACACTGCCATTGATCTCAGAGTTTGACCAGTCTGAAATGACTCGGATAAGCCCATTAGCATCTGTAAGATTCACAGTATATTGTTCACCTGCAAGCGTGGTCACTGGGTTAGAGTTACTCAAGTTGCTTAAATTTGAGAGGGTATAGTATTTTGGGAATGCATGGTAGAGTAGGAGGGAATTCACTTGGTCCTTGGTGAGGTTTGAGAGGGAAGACTTATCAATTTTGGAGAAGGCTGTATCACTCGGGGCGAAGATGGTGATGCCTTGATCAGTGTTCTTGGCTTGGTTTTGGAAGGTTTCTATAACATTGGTTTGAGTGAGGAGAGTGAGGAGAGTATTGAAGGGGCCACTAATAGAGAGGAGATTAGTGAGATTCACATCAGGGGTTGGAGATGGTGGAGATTGAGCTGTAATTGGTGATATGCATATGACAAGTATGCTACTAATTATAAAAGTCGTTGTGATCCGAGTCATTTCCCTTGCAATCTTCTTTGTTTCTTCTCCGAGGATTAAATCTGTCGTATTCCTACAAGCAATATAGAAAATTTAACCATAAGAATTATCAGATTGATCATGGAGTATGATCTTACTGTTCTACATAGATAAACACCAGAACAAAAAAAGAATCCTAAGTAGGTCTAGAAGAAGCAAACAAACCTAGAACAAAACTTATAATGCCAGTCAGAACATAGCAATGCAAAAGAGTAAACTGGTCATACAAAATGATAAGCGGTGAGAAATCTGTACAAAATTCTCCCTTTTATATAGAGGTTTTAACTGGTGATGCAACTATTCCATAACTTGGTCATGTGAATGCATACTGAGTTTAATAAGCAGAAAAATCATTTAAAAATATATAGATTTAAATATATGTATATCTGTTAAATGAAGATTGACATTTTAATACATATGTTTAAACGTATGTACCAAAAAGAAACAGATGCACCAAGGAAACAGATGCACGGAGGTCTCCATATTTTTTTTTTATTAATTTCTGCATATCATCGCCGTCTTCTATACATATGTACGTATGTAATACTTTCATGATGTTTAAAGGGGGCAGATTAATAATGTTTGTTTTATATGAACATTTTTTTGTTTTATATTCAAACTTATCCAATATCATTATCACAAATAAATAAAAATAAATTAATTAAAATCATTATTTAATTGATTAATCTGATCATAAAATATTGACCGTCTTGCAATATTTGACCTCATTAAATGCACAAGTTTTGTGAATCACCTCCTAACGAATATTTAAATAAATCAAATCTATCCTCTGTATCGCCCTCCCATGTTTATGTTCAGGGCAGAATCAACGTTATTTTTTAGGGAAAATTATTTTGTTAGGACTCCCATAGAGAACCATCTGAGTTCAATAAAATAATTCCACGTGACGATGACAGAAAAAAATAAAAATCGGTCCGGTAACACACAGGGGAATATTCCTCCCGTGTTATTGTATGTTATTTAAGTGTTATTGTGTTTTGAAAATATTTCTAGTGTTATAATAACACAATAACACATTAATAACGCTTAAATATTCCCTTATAACACATTATTAACACACAAATCTGAATAACACGGGAGGAATATTCCCTTATATTACCGGACAGATTTTATTTTTTTCTGTCACCGCCACGCAACTCGATTTCATTGGACTCTGAATGGTTATCTACGTTAGGAGTCCTGACAGAATAATTTTATATTTTTTAGGGTCTTTTTTCTTATCTATTTATTTATGTATTTTCGAATGAGAATAATTCTCGGTTTGAAAATTATAGCTTCTGAAATTACTGACATGGTTAATGTTGATCATTCAAAATAAATTTGATGAATGCAAGTCATCTAAATTTATTGATTAAATAAATGAATATGATGATTATATATTATAATTGAAGGTTATTTTTTCAATTTTTTGAGAAAATATTATATATGTTAAAGATATGTATGGGAGATGATGCAGGTTCAAGGAAGTTTCCTTGTATTGTTATTTATTTATTATTATTATTATTATATTTTTATGTGCACATCTCACGTACGCACTTTTAACGGTATTTAATATTTTGGGCTTAGAGGATATCGTACTCCAACGGCAATGAAGTGGAAAGCATGCTCCCATGAAAGTGCCACATCCGCCCCTGAAAGACAAAAAGCATACTGAATTATACGTCTTTCTTAAACATCAATAATATTCGCCATTGCGAAATTTCTATTTTTGTGCAAAATATTTAAAAAAAAAAACAAATAAAATGCTATTTCTATACTAATTATTAAATAAATAAATAAACAAATCTAAAGGCCTCCAGTTGGCTTCAAATTCTATTACATTATCAATAAGTACTAACTCTAAAATAAAAGACATGCACTCTTAACTTGACCAGAAGGATGCTTCCTAGCGACTAATACATTTTTTTGCATGCCGACAACAAACACATACAACTTGTTTACGCAATACAGCCGACAGATTTCAAAATATAAAAATAGATTAAAATAAAGTAATCATAGACTGGTACTTTAAATTAGTGCTGAAATATACAATATCTATATTAGTATATTATTACTAATTTACTATAGTATATTAAAAATATAATAAATTTTTTATATATAATTATTTTATATTATTTTATATTTCAAACAATAACGATTCGAACACGAACGAACGCATCACTGTTCATGTTTGGTTCGTTTAACTAACCGAACGAAAAAAATTTGTTCGCGTTTGTCTCGTTTACTTATCGAACGAATCGAACACGAACTCATTGACGAACCGAACACGAACTGTTCGCGAACAACGAGCTTTTTTGACAGCCCATCAGTAAATTTTTATCACGTGAAATGAATCTAGAAATACGGCGTGAATTTCAAATTATTTTTTTGAGAAAAAATATTCAAATTCAAATTAGATATCATCGAAAACTCTTATTTGAGTAGAATTACAGTCAAGCGGATTGACTCGACGAGACGACCCAAAATTGGTCTCATCAGAGTCAAATCAAGCATGTATTAAGCCCTTAAATCACTTTTAGAAGTTTTAGGGGGGCTAATTGGAAGGTCTGACAATCTCATATCCAAATTGACTGTCTCAGTGAGTCGAATTTAATAAGCTCCAGATTACTCAATTCTGACATCGTGAAAACACTTAAATATCCGTAAACATTGTTTAATTGTGAGAATCTCTCTGGGTCGTCCAATGTATTGGTTCAAATTCCTTTCTTATTATAAGGGAGAAATCACATACTCTGTAAATAGTGTCCTACTCCTTTCATGAAATGAGACCTTGACCTTGAACCAGATGAAGAGTTGGACTTGAAGCTAATTCGAGAAAAAAACATAAATCCTAGTTTCTTTTCGGAGTGAAGACCCGACGAATGCGTATGACTTCCACAATTACCAACCACCATCGACGACCACTCATCGATCACCGTCGATAGTGTCATGCTTGTTGCAACACAGCTTCTTGTGGAGTCATGATGTATGTTGCAGACCAACAAAAAACCGCGCAAAGTAAAGACTGGCATCAGAGAGTAAAGACCAACTTCATGAAGTAATGAGGCACCTTGCATAATAGTGCATCATTGTACACACCATGCACTGATCCACACTAAAGATGATTTACTGAAGTCCGAAAAACTTTTCCTAACTGCAACTACTCTTGATCGTTGTACGATTAATTCATTTGCATACAACCATTAGACTTTAAGGAACTGTGTAACCCTTACCTGCCTGTGAGATAAGGGTATGTTTGTGTACTCATCAGTGGATTATTTTGACCGGGCTAGACTCTATGATTTTTTCCTTGCAGAATTTTCATATAAAAATTTGGGATTTCTTTATCTATCACTTCAATTACTTGTGGTGTGTGTGTGTGTCTTAAATTTTAATGTAATACTACAATACTAAATAATCCCTCTACTATCCTAATTCTTTCGTCACACGTCAATTTGGCGTTGTCTATGGGAAATGCAATCCTCCCATCAAATGACTTGCGAAACTTGTTGAATGGCTACCGGAAGCAATACTTGCAATAATGGAGCTCCAGCTCCAACCCACCATTATAGGGGATAATTAATGATTAAAGAACGTCAAGCCTCCACATCTTCCCACCCTGTAAGACGTTTGGTAGGGGATTTTTTTTGTCTCCACACACCATAGAATTTTCGAAAGACATCTATTAAAATGATTGATCATGGCATTTAAAGAATAATATACCTCCCCGATGAAAGAAAAATATTACCTTAAAATAGGTCTAATCATTCAGATGATGTTTACGAATCCATGGTTTTTTTTTCTTACCATGCGAGTGTAATATAATGCTTATTTTATTCTGGGTCGGGTTCTCTTTAAGAGCAAACCCTTATAGTTAATTACATATTCAGAGTTTGGAGCTCTAACGAAAGCTCTTGATTAACATAATGACTTGAGTTATCTAGATTACATGATTAGGCTTTTAAAAATGAGGTGAAGGAATGACCCGAGTCTGGAGTTTTGGAAGAATTAAGCTCAAAAAAATGGGACATAAAGTTTGATGGCAGTGCATCATGATAAATTCATGCAAAAAACCAGCATAGTAGAAGACGCGGGGTCGTTGTCCAATCTGCATTATGTGAATTGCCGACCAAATGTTGGCAGCTTGATCCAAGGGCCCATGACACACGTTGACCCACTCTAACCTACCAGCTTGGCCGCTCCATCCCCCCACTGATGCCTCATGTCCTGGTATGACTCACAAACCAGACCACTAGCTCATGCCTCCGCAGCAGGTAGTCGCCGTCCATTGCAGCCTATAGCTTTCCGCTCGGTACCGTCCCCGCAGCTGCATGTTGCGACCCACTGTCATCGACCACTATTTATCTTCATCGAAGTTGTCTCTCCCCATCCAACACCACCGATCGTCGCCGTCGTTGCCTCCACTTAAAAACTTCAAAATTTAAAAAAATTTCAGAAACTTTTAATTTTTGGTAACTTTCGAACGAACAAGTAAAATCATTTAAAAATTTGGGAGCAACTGATACGCTATCAGTAAACTTTCATGTGACACAAATCTAGAGAATTGTTTTGGGCACAAAATGTTTAGACTTAAATTTAAATCATTCAGAAGTGATTTCAACAAACTTATAATCAAATTAACCAACCTTATGAGACAAAGTAAATAGCACAAAAGTGGGTCAATTTTATTCAAATCAAGCTTAGATAAAGCATTTAAATTAGTTCGATAGAGTGTATGGTTTCCTTCCTTACTAGTAGTGGAGGCACTCCCAAGCTCTATAAATAGAGCCATACCTCTTTAATGATGGATCAATAGTTGGTTCGAGAAGGAATTGAATCTTAGTGACGTTTCATACCAAAGACTCGACAAACTGTTCCCATTTCTGTAGCAATTGATCATTGTCGAGGACCACTCATTGGCGAGTGTCGACCATCATCGGTTAAACCCCTACTCATTACAACAAAGCCCCTTGCGAAGTCATAACGTGCGCCGACGAAACGACATGCAGAGTAAAGATCAATGTCGCTTAGTAAAATTTAATGTCGCGGAGTAATAATGCATCATAGCTAGCAATGCAACATCCTGAACATAGTGCAAGAATGCACCTCAAAGATGGTGCATCGAAGTCCTCACAATTACTAATTACAATTTCTCTCGACCGTTATACAACGAAT